CCCTGCCCAGCTCTTGCTGGCATCAGGAGCAAGTGGACTGAGCCAAGCTGCTTTTTCAGCTCTGCTAACATAGAAAGCAGCAGTGTGGAGCAGGGGCAGACTTGACTCCATTTGGGGGGGTCCTATAAACAAAAAGTGAACCTGACAATTTTAAATCAAAGCCTTTAAGTTAGATTTTAAGGCTATGAAACAGAATGAGTGATTTAGGACAAAACAATTGGATTCACATTGCTTCCCCACACTGAAGCGAATGACAGTGAATAATGCATGTCCATACGATACGTGATGTGGTAGACAACATTTCTTTTCACTAGGCATTTTGAAAGGGATTCTGTGACCAGTAATAAAACTGTTATCACCAGTAACCACATGTGTCGTCAATGTAACCATAGCTGAAATCTTTTTTTACTGTAACTTTAAAGTAGATCTGTCTGCGTTTAATATTTTGGGATGCAGTGTTCTTGTTGAGAGGGAGAACAGGAGTCTCTCCAAAGTTAATCAAATAAGATCAAATGTTATTATATTAATTAGTGCGTGTAAGAGGTGCTTAACCTTATATTAGAACTTTTAGGCTGGTTATTTGCTTCCACTCTTTATGCTAAGCTAAGCTTACTGAATCTATTGCTCCATTGTTAATGCACAGACAAGAGAGTGGTATCAAATTCTCAGCAAGAAAGCGAATAATCATATTACCTAAAATGTCAAGCTGTTACTTTAATGGAATCCTGGTATAGATGTAAAAGCTGACTGATAATGCTGCAACTGATCGAAAAGTACAGTGTGGTGTTTCCTGCAGCCATCTGAGGCCGTGGTCATTTTCGTAGCAGCAATTATTTCCCTTGTAGCTTTTGATGCAGTTGTAAAAAAAATGTCTGAGGTTAAGAGAAGTAGCTGAGCTTGATGAAGTAGTGGAGGGAGTGGGCATGAGTCAAGAAATGACAAGTCTTTTAATCTAACAAATGAGGGGTGTTGGTCAGCAAGTAAATATCCTCTAAATTAATCAAAATTGAGCCTTCATTACTTAATATTTTGCCTTTTGTAGGCTACAGGGACCTATGTGGCTGTCCTTGATCTAATGGCATGTGTCAGTTTTATGGTTAAAAGGAAGAAAAAGCAGACAGGAAAAGGGATGAGGAAATGGAGGAGGGGAAAGGGATGTAAGGAGGACAGGAGTAAAGAATAAAGAGTGAAGGGTAAACCAAAGTAAAGGACCTGAGAAGGAAGAGTGAGGCAGTGACAAACTGACGCCGCTCCTCTGACTCTTTAATCTTTTTTATCCACACACAGGCGAAGACAAGTCAGCACCCTCCTAAGTAGAAGTTCTCACCTTGACCCATTCTCCATCTTTCTCTCTTTATCTGTCGCTCCCCCTCTCATGTTACCGTGTCGACCTTATGTCTCACTCCTCTTTATTCCTGTCATCCTCCCCGTCCTCCTCCTCCTTTGGCTGTCCTCACCGTGTAAACGGGATGATACAGGCTGTGTACAACACGCTGATCCACTGCAGCCTGTGTCTGTCATGCAACAATGGCTGTGTCCCTGTTGTCACCTCATCAATCAGGCCTGAGTGGCACACTGAGGCTGTGCTGATGCTTCATTGCGACTTCACAAGAGAAGTTGGGAATCTTAGTTTGTGTTGCTGTCATGCAAACACATTTTATTTTGCCGGAATAGCAAACTATATCACATCTAAAGCAGATTCTGACATAGACACTCATTAATGTCAGGTAGTAATATGTTCCTGTTGATGATATCCGGTCAGAGAATGATTATATTTCCAACTGTTGGCGTGCGCACTTCCATATCAGAGTGGAAATTACCCATTGTTGCTCCTCAGCATGCCAGGAAGCACCTTTCACAACAAACTCACCCTCCTCACACTGATTCAATCCAATGCAACCACTATAGCTTCTCATTACTCAAGCCTATTTGGCAATGTATCAAGACAACAGAGTGGTTTACTTTACTAATGGATTGAGATATTCATAATCATATATTCATATCATAAAAGCTTTAGAGAGAAATATTGTATGGCTACAACTGTACAACATTATCACTACTCTCATATGCTGCAGTATCAGCAATCATCAAGTAAATGATTCTACTGTGTAGGCTTTACATTGGTGATCAGCATTAAGGAAACAACTTCAAACATACATGTATGATATACACTTTATTTCTTAAAAATCATATCTTCAAAACATAATCGTCATAAACTATTTTTTGCTACTGACTATCGTGAATCACAAAGTTAGTTGGAAACCTTTTTGTGAGTCTAAAAGTATTTTTATGTTCCAGACAAAGGCACCTAAAATGAGTTTAGGTGAGTACACCTTAACGTAAACAACTGCTGCCAAAAAAAAGATTAAAAACAATAGCGGTCTTGGTACACCGGAAATTCCCACCAGAATGTGGCACACAATGAATTCTGCCACTTCCAATGAATTTTGGCCAACCTGTAAGGAAATTCCTTCTGAGCTGTGGAAATATCCTCTTTGAGTCTCTCTAGGAACATTTAAAAACACTCAGAAGGCGAAGACAAGCAGAGATTCTGTGGAGCCATTACTGTGACCCTACAAGGAAAATTCAGGAGTGGTGCAGTGCTGATGCCTTGATGATGGTCCACCATACCGGACATTATTTCCTGGCGTTGGTCCACTAGACCACCGAGAAACAGAAGCAGCGAACTCCCTTCTCTCTCAGCATTCTGGCTCTTTGGTGGCCATCAGCCCCGGGAATAGCAGCTATGTGAGCATGACTGCACAGCACTATTTCTGTGTGCTCTGCTACTTGACATTGAGAGGCCGGGATTAGGTGGCTCCACTACTGTAAATGACTACCCCCTGTCACACATACAAACACACGTACACACGTGTACTTTTGCAAATTCACATATACACCTTCATATTGCGTATGAAATCCTACAATTAACTACATTTATTTATAACTGAGAAAACAAAGTCATCGGCATATTGTCACATCTCCAAAAATATCAAACTAAAAAAGCGTCTGTTTTCAGCTTTGTGACAGGCTGTATTTTTCAGACAATCCAAAGGGTTTTTAATTTTTATTCTATTTCTTACAGAGTTTACAGAGGAACTGTGGAAATTGTGTGTTTTCGGTCTTGGGGAGTACTACTGCATATGTGAAAGAAGTTGTATGAATTTTTTTTTGGCTCCAGAGGGAGCTGCGTAAAATATGATAAACTGCCTCAATCAATGTCACTTGAGGCAGCGTTGTTGTGGTTAAAGACAAAATCAGAATCTGAAATAATCCTGGGAATGTATAGCTAGAAAGAGGTGAGCTTACCAGACCTCTGTAGTGCTCCTCAACTCTGCTTGAGGCTAGTGGGTCGAGGCAACGCTAGCTGCTATGAGCATAACACAACCAAATCTCTGACCAAACTGCCAGTGGTTGAGTTGTGTTGTGTGTAATAGGTGTTTCGACAAAGAAGAACAGTTTGCCGAATTAAAAAAAGACGATGTCTCTGGTTCTGCTGCATCAATTTTGGTCATTTTTAAGCTATTTTTAAGGCTGTAAGTAGAAGCAGAATTTGGAGATGCATAGTGTTCACTGGACAGCGACAATATGTTAACCTTATGTGTTTTTGTGTTTGCAAACCTGCTGCCCCTTCATAGACAACTAAAGTGTTTTGAATTGAATTGAACACGAAGTGAGTTCTACTAAAATTGCAAACTGAGCTTTTTCCTGATAAAGTTAGATGCTGAACTTCTGTTTTTCAGTTGCTCAACAAATGGTATGAGGAGTTCCTGAATCAGGTACCACACCCTTATGGTTCAGTTGAACATCTGTCTTTAACTACCATCCCCCAGTGTGAACGTGTGAGTCCAACAGTATGTTGTTGATTCAATATATATAGAAAGTATGGGAATCAAACCCACAAACAGCGTTGAAAATTATCCCATCGCAAACATGTAAACAATCAAGTTCTGCTGTGGATTTTTGCCTGTAATGGTTCGGTTAACCCGTGCAACCCACACAGATGCAGCACCAAGGCATTACTGTACCACATTCCCACACACACACACACACAGTGTCGGTGTAACAACATCCGTGTAGGAGGTGACTTCAAGGGGTGACTAACATTTGGCTAGGTCTCAGCCTGCCTTTGAGTCCAGCTGGGTCTTTTGACTTTCCTTACCCCTATTAAGCCTGTGTGCAGCATACATGACAGCATTGTTGCATCCTGCTAGTATTTGCCGTATGTGGTCTCTCTGAACTCTGTGGCATTCAGGGCTGGTTGAGGTCTCAGATGTTAAACTTGGTAGTGTGTCTTTGAACATGACATCTGTTGGCTGTGTGAGTAATGGTGTGTGGTGCTGTGGCGTGATGTGTTGTGGCTGTACATCAGGTGTTCCCTGCCCTGTACGCCGCACATCTGTTCCCCCGTGGCTCAGTACATACACACGGCGGTAAGTGAGTCCTGACCGCACTCATTATGATTGATCTGTCAGTGAGACTGATGAGGCTCTTGTCAACACACGACACTGATGATAATGTCTTCGTTTTACATTTGGTCCGAAGAGAAAGCCCACTGAGAAACACATTGTGTCCTATCCAGATAACCAGATTTAAATAAACTAGGTAGGCTTTCTGAGTGCATATCTACTGAGCACTGACTAAATATATTTGCCTTTTGAGCACTGAACATAATAGCACTAATGGCCAGGATACAGGTGCTTTGGTTAAAAGCAGTCGCTCACACGTCAGGGTGACGGGAAATAAAAATATTATGTTTACTATAATTACAGCTCCTGAATAGGCCAAAAGAACACACTGGTGTTATCATTATCCAGACAGGCCGTTCTAAAATATCACATTAATGTGTGGCCCGACTCAGGAAGTGAACCCAAAGAGCGAAAATAAACTTGACTTTACTTAACTGATCTAACATCTGAGATAGCTATTAATGGTAAGAACACAGTGCTTTGACTTACATAGTCAGATATAATGAAGTAAAAGGAGTCCAAAATTCGGAATAACTTTTTTTTTGTTTTTAATTTTGCTCTGAAAAAAAAAAATCACATAAATAACACAATCACTTCAAAACTACAGGACAGGATTTGAAAGGGTGGAACACTTTAATTCACATTTTTTGCTTGACAGCTGAACATGGATCTGAGGGAGTTTCTCCTATAATGAGGGTAAGACAACATGACAGGACAACATATTCATACCAAATTCTTGCTACAGTGCTTTAGATATTTGACTCCCTTTTTAAAAGTTAACGATACAGACGCTGTGTTTTTATGCTGTCTTTAATCTGTATCAGCCCAATGTGGCCCTAAAGATCCCCAAATCTGCAGGATAAATATAGGTGGACGGGGGTTCAAAGAGTAGTGCTTTCCCCTGCCTCATTACCACTGCTTATGTGCCTTTGAGCAAGGGCCCTGAAACCCTACCACTTCTACAGTGGAGCTGCTCAGTGGCTGACAGATCCAACTGGTTGTGCTGGGCAGCCTCCAGGTGTGAATGTGTGTAACTGTGTGAGTGTGAGCAGGGTGTTTCCTGAAAGACATTGCTCTCAATGAAACTCCCTCTGAAGAATTAAAAAGCGATCATGTCTATTCAACGATCAATTTATTAATCACAGTGCTATTGATCATCTACTGAGTGCCAAAAATGAAAGCCAGAGATCAGATATTTATGCGTCATATCTCGTTTCATGAAATACTTAATATCTCAATGAGCTTCTGCATTGTTTGCTTTTCTGTTTCATAAATAAATATCGTCCAATAAGGAATATAAAAACAACTGTAACATCATTATTTTAAAAACTGTTGATGGTGGTTAAAATCTCTATAAATACAGTTAGCTTAAATAAATAAATTAAAATTATAAATATACCGTTTACTGTACACAAAAAAAGATGGACTTGTGCAGGAAAATACAAAATGCTGTCTGTTGAGGAAAAAAAAAAAATCCAGGTTGAGCTCTCGTTGTTAAAAATCTTTTCTTATTCAGTTAAGTCTGAAACAGCCTCTTTTCACAAGAAGCAGCACAAAGTCTAGGCGTGTCCTTCTTCTTCTTCTCCTCGTTCCTTCGTGCTTATCACCTATTTGCTCATCACATCTCCAGTCCATCCTCTGGGCCGTTAGTATTCCAGTTTCAGGCGGGCCGTCTTCTTCTGAGGCCTTCAAGGAATAGCTGCCCATTTTTTTCATCTGAACGTCTAGCAGAGGGTCAGGCAGACAACAACCACTGTTCCCTTCTACGTGTACGATCCTTTTTCCCTCCAGGACCTCTTTTTGCAGTTCACTTCTCTTTTCTATTTTGAGGTAGAATTTCCGCATCTTTGCCTAACATGGAAAAAAAAAGAAGAGGCAGTGAGCAAAACCTTCTTTCATTTAGGCAACAAAGAAGCAAGCCAAGTGTTTGTCAGTGTATGTGTTTGTAGGCCTGTTCCTCTACTACTCACCTCTCTTTGTCTCTTCAGTGGTTGGATGCTAACCCTAGTTTGACCTTCTCTTCATTCTCTACATCATACGCTCCCCGCTTATGAAACCTGCAATAAACACAAGAAAAGGAGCTTGTTTAGACTATTTTCTGTCTATGACAAGTAACAGCTACTGTGTGTATGGTTGTGTATGGTTGTGTGTGTGTGTGTGTGTGTGTGTGTGTGTTTGTGAATGAATCTATGAGTTGTTTTACATACCTTAGCAATAATAAAAGGCCTATGATAGTGAGGCAGATGGACGACAGCACCACTGCCACCACGGCCAGAGCTGTGGTCCTGTTGTAGCCCTCCTGGGGCTTCTCCAAGGGCAGCGTGAAGAACTGACACCGTTCCCCAGAGTAACTTGGGAGGCACCTGCAGACAGGACAGAGAGGGATCTGGTTAGTCAGGTTAATAATTCAGTGGTGGGAGATAGTGTTGCAGATACAGAGCTCGTACTTACACACAAGATGCGGCACGGATGTCCCTCAGGTACTGGCAGGTGCCGTGAATGCAGAAATCCTTATACTTCTTCAGGCAAGGATTCCTCTTCTTTCCCTTGCCTCTCCCCTTCTTTTTCCCCTTTCCTTTCCCTCTCTGTCTTTCAGTGTTTTCAGCGTTCAGGATGGCAGATGGGTCTTTGGGTTTGCTTGACATGGCAACTAAACCAAAAAGAGAACAACAGAACAATTACATTTAATCGTCGTAAAAAAATTAAATAGAAAACAGTAGTTAGAAACTGAGAAAAACTTTCTCACCTTGTGGCACTTCCAGTTCAGAGTCCCCAGACATGCCATCGTCTTCATAATATTCATCATCGTAATCCTCCCCCTCCTCCTCGCCTTCCTGACCATACTCCACCGTTGTCGCACCCACGCTTATGCTCTCCTCCTCTGCCGTCCTGTCTTTGGTTGTGTCCAAAAACTTGAAAACAGCTCTGTGCCTCTGCCTGTCGCTCTCATACCTGTCGACCGCTGCGCCACTGGCCATTCTGGACACCACTGGAGGAGAGAATAAGAGTAAAATGTTAGGGATTGCACGCAAGTTTGGTTTGATACAGTCTTTAACAGAACAGACTCCTTAGAAAGTCTTCCTCCAGGGGACAATCAATGCACACAGGTTAGTGTGCCAAGGTGGGCCGGACCTCTGAGGGCAAGTCGAAACATGTTGTGCAGAAGGAGGCTGGGATTTTTGGCTTTCAGTGCCTGTTAGGAAATGCACAAGCTCAGATAGAGCGTGTGGTCCTTAAGGGGTTGGTAGGTATTTACCGCCTTGCTCAGGAGCACTTCAGCAGAGTGGAACCTGAAGCCAAAAACAGAGGGGGCTTGAACTACAGAGCCTCCCTCAGATGGGACAGTTTAGATTTGTGGGCTTTTGGACGGGAAATGTAGTGAGGGGACAAATAGAAGTTGGCATACTCTCACTATATACACACGCACACACATAAAATGCATGGACAGACAGTTAGCTAATGTCAGGCAAGAATATGAGTTAAAAATAAATGTATCCAGTTACATAAAGCATGCTCTAAAATAGAGAGATGACCCCATTAGATCCCGAATAGCCTGGCATCATGAAAACCGTTGCCTTAAAGGTTATGAAGTTTACAAGACTTGTTATTAGCTCGGCCATGCCTGAGAGGTTTTACACTGACAGCCAAGAAGAGACAGTTAAGAGTATTTAACACACATAACAATAACCTTCAACAGAGGAATAAACTTGCTTTCTAACAGGAGCGCACATGAAACTCACCCAAGGCGTGAACCAGCAGGAGCACAACACTGAAAATCCTCATGATGGCAAAACGTCCAGTGATATTTGGGAAAAAAAGTTGAAAAATATATATATATATAATGATCAACAAGTTGTATTCCTTCCACTTGTCCGTAAATATTCCTTCGTTTCTTTTTCTTTTTCTTTTTTTTTTTCTCTCGATGTGTTTGTGAGAATTAATTCTGCTTGTTTGCTACCCCTTCGTGTGATTTCAGGTCTTTGGTGCGTCTCGGATGTTTCAGTGTGAGAGGAGCGGAGCTAGAGACAGTCCGCACAGACTCTCCGCGCTATTTATAGCCCTCCACCATTCACCACGCCTACAAATCTGCACCGCCGGGCGGCCTGCTGCATGTGGTCCTGTGCTCATGTACATCCTGTATACATTTCAGTGGAGGCTGTTGGAAATTCATTATTTTCCAGCAATTATATACTATCTGTTAATTTCATCTTTTTCTTAAAGCTTTGGTCTACCTGAAGTGTTTTTCCCTGTTTTTTGGTCTCTGTACTTTAAGATGTTTACTTTTATACGGACAGACATACAGACGGATTGTTAATTTCTTTAGGCCTATAAATAATAAAAGCACCTGAGGAGATGCGACAGGCAAATAATGAACAGCTTGTCTGCGCCACCCCGTGGTAGAGGTAGGAACTACATCATACCTGCTCTAAGTAGATGATCAGACAAAGTAAAGCTAACCTTATTATTCTGATTAAATAATCAGAATTATTGAAACAAATTAAACTAATATGAAATACCGAAGGGCTTCAACTAACTCCAATTTAATCTGACTATCAGTTCAATATGGTATGCATATTCACAAATGGTTCACAAGATTTCAGAGACTGAACATATAGGTCCTGCAGCTGGTGATTATTTATCAATGTAGGCCTTTATAGCCAGCATGCACTATAGCAGGACCACTGACCCTGAAACTGAAGCAGTTAAATGGAATTCAGCCATCATTTGTTTTGCTACTGTGACATAAAATGTCTTCTGTGGAAAAGGCCTTTAGTGCAGGTAAAAAATACAATCTTTTCATTTCAGTTTATATTAATCAGTTTTAAAAAAAAAGACCATAAACCTATTGGAAGGAAGCAAAGCATAACAATACATTAGAAAAGGGGAAAAGGCATCAGGGGAAATATAATAATTGAATTAACTACTTAAACTGATTTGGCTGAGATGGTTAATGTCAACTGCGCTTCATGCTCCAGTCCGGTAGGTGGCGGTAATGCGCCTATACGGTGGCCTCATAACCGCCAATAAATCCAACGAAGAAGAAGAAAGTTCTCAGAGCGCGCGTGATTGCTCTGGTGCGGTCACGTGAATGCGAGAGGGGAGGGGGGGACAAACATGGCCGACGAGGCAGGGAAAGTAAACACAGCTGTTGAGGATGGCGAAGCAAAACAGCCGCCGGATGAGCCCGAAGTTTCGGGAGTCACGACCGACGGCGAGTCCGGCGGCAGCGACGACCAGGACCGGGCCGAGAAGTCGACTCCGGCTCCGGCGGCGGCAGAGAACAGTTGGTCGGCTCCCCTCCTGTCTCTGGCTCGGAAGGCCACGGAGACGATTAGCAGCGGGGTAAGCTACGCCGCTGCCCCGAGAAATCCCTCACAGGGATCCGCTGCGAGCTCCCCGACGGAGACGGAGCCCGAAAACGATCTGGACAACGCCTCAAGAAAGCTTCCAGGTAGGCTGTGGCTACTATTAATCTTTGACACTGAAACCAACACTCTCCATTAAGTTGTAAAAGACTGAAGCCATAAAGTCCATACTTCCTCTTGGGGGGGGTGAATTGCCACCTGTCACACATAACACATGACTTCAAGAGTAAAACTTTGATTTTATGGGTTGATGAGCGTGCAGAAAGTCACGCTGTTTCCTCTGGCTGCGTTTTTATGGAGACACATTTGCATGATATATCCTCCAAGCCTGCATTTATGTGACTAATTCAGTGGTTCTCAAACTTTTCCACCACCTCAAAACTAGTTACAAACTCAAAAAAAAAAAGATTACGTGTTGCATTTATGTGAAATAAAGTTAATATTCTCCCCCCTGGTCATCCACGCCCCCACCTGCAGTGGCTCTATGAACTGGACTAATCATGTAATTGCTTTTTTTTTTCTTTCTTTGACTTGCATCCTTTACAGTTCTGCCCCCCAAAGACCCCATGTCAATAGAGAGATCCAACCTCCTCAGCATGATGAAGCTGAGCATCAAAGTGTTAATCCAGTCCTCCTTGAGTCTGGGCAGGACGCTGGACTCGGAGTACCCTCCCCTGCAGCAGTTCTTTGTTGTCCTGGAGCATTGCCTCAAACACGGGCTGAAAGGTGAGACTGATCTTTTTGAGCAGAGTTCGTTCTTCTTTTAAAGTCATGCGAATCCCATGTTTGTACCGGAAAGCAAGCAGAAATTACATTCTGTCTTTCAGCCAAGAAATCCTTCATTGGTCAGAACAAGTCCATATGGGGACCTCTGGAGCTGGTTGAGAAGTTGTGTCCAGAGTCTGTTAACATTGCCACAAGTGCCAGAGATCTTCCCGGCATTAAGTATGTCTATACCTACAATATAAGGAATCCCTAACAACTGTTTTGATTATTGGTGGCTTTAATGTTGTTATTCTCTTATTTTAGGACTGGTTTGGGGAGGGCAAGGGCGTGGCTGCATTTAGCACTCATGCAGAAGAAAGTAGCGGACTATATGAAAGCTTTGCTGGACCGCAAAGATCTCCTGAGGTTAGTAATCATGGTTAGTTATGTGGGCTTAATATAGCATTTATATGTAAATGGTAACATGTTCTTTCTGTCCTTTTTTAGTGAGTTTTATGACTCTGGAGCATTGATGGTGGAGGAGGAGGGGGCAGTGATGGGGGGGCTGCTGGTGGGCCTCAACGTAATTGACGCTAACCTTTGTATAAAAGGGGAAGATCTTGATTCTCAGGTGAGTGCCGAAAGGTTTTGTGGGCTAACCGGCCCGGCACCTCATTTTGTCCACACACTGATCAGCCTCTTGTTCCTTTTAGGTCGGGGTCATTGACTTCTCCCTTTATCTGAAAGACCCTGCTAACAGTGAGACTCCAAAAGAGTGAGTGCCCACTTTCAGATGGATTGAGCATCTCACCTACACTGCTTTTCATTTCAGTTTGAATCGTAGCCCTTGGCATGAGAGCAATTCAGTTCCAAACAGACCTAATGCACACTCAACTCTTCTCTTTTAGTGATTCCAAGATGACAGTCATATTAGATCAGAAGCACTACATCGAGGAGTTAAATCGTCACCTAAGTGGCACCGTCACTGATCTTCAGGCTAAGATGGACTCTCTAGAGAAGACCAACAGCAAACTTGTAGAGGAGGTCAGATGTCAACTATCATCTACATCAACCATCTAAAAAGAAGGCATTCCTCTCTAATGTCAACATAACATCTGTGCACAGACCTGATGAGTGTTTTTATTGTCCTCAGCTGACAGCGGCAACAGACAGAATCAACTCTCTGCGGGAGGAACAGGAACAGCTGAGACAGGAGAATGAGTCCATCTTGCAGTCCAGCCAGAAAAAGGAAGAGGTCAGAAATCATCCAGGAGAAATTGCAACTAAACCTCTCCAAAGTTGAATAATATCCAATCTGTATGATGTGTTTGTTTTTCCAGGCAGCCCTTCAGGACAGCCAGGTGGAACTGGAGACGTACAAACAGACCCGACAGGGCCTGGATGAGATGTACAATGTGGTTTGGAAGCAGTATAAAGAGGAAAAGCGCATTCGCCAGGTCAGGTATCAACAGGCTGTAGCACCAGAATATATAAATCACATTGCAATAAAAGGTGATTTGGCTGCTCTGTTTGGGGTGATGGGGTAGAGGCTGAAGATCGGTTTTAGGTGGGAAGCATGAAGTGCAAATTACTCTTCATACTTTGTTATTAGACAGAAGCCAGCAGTGTGAGGTTTGTGTAAGTCATTTGGCAACTCAGTGTCTTGTTGAACTTTTCTGAACTGACTCTAGAACTAAATTTGACTCATGCCTTTTTGTATGTTTACAATGCATGATGTCAGGAGTTGGAACGGGAGTTGGAGCTCCAGGTGGGCCTGAAGCAGGAGATGGAGGTGGCCATGAAGCTGTTGGAGAAGGACTCGCATGAGAAACAAGACACACTGGTAGCCCTGAGGCTCCAACTTGACCAAGTCAAGACTCTTAACCTGCAAATGTTCCACAAAGCTCAGGTAGACACACATGAATACAACCTTTCTTCCTCCCGCATGCTCAGTCAGACAACACGCACAATAATACAGTCTATGTGGCTCTTAAGGACTGGGAACGAGAAGCAGAAAAAAAGCAGGCGGAGGCTGGGCAGCTTGAGCAGAAGATGGATGAAATGGAGAAAGTCATGATGGAACTAGAGCAGAGGTATTTATTGTGCATGTTTCAGTGTGGTAAAAGGATATATGCGTCAAATTAATATAATTCCTCTCTTCTGTCGTTTGTGTCACAGACTACAGAACTCTGAGCGAGAGCGCAAACAAAGTGACCAGTCAGACAAAGATATGAAGGTGGAGCTGGAGGGAAAAGTGGATGCTTTGCAGAAACAACTGACTGACCTGGATACAATAAGGTGAAAAAAATAATAACAGTAGAATTATACAGAAGGATAATACGACTATATATATGTAAATAACATTTGGCCTACGGGAGTTAATGCTAGACTGAGGAGCAGTTCAGTTGTAAATTGGAAATATTTCCTTTGAAGGTGCACTAGATATAATTATGGCTTCTTCAAAAACTAATAAGTGCCCAGTACTAATTCAGTGTCAAGTTTAATTTTAATAGAATATAGTGTATATAATATAAGTTTAGTTTTTCACTTGATTTAATCTCAAATTTAAAACCAAATAAAAGTGTATAAAAGTCAGTTATGCAGATATAAAGTTGTCAGAGTCCAAATCTAGTGTTATTAATTCTCTTCATACATTAAGTAAAAAAAAAAAAAACAAAACACACTCAGAGGGTTAAATTAGCTACAAGAATCACCACATTCCTTCTGTTCTCAGGCTGGGTTTAGAGAACGAGCTGCGCACTGAGAGGGAACAGAGACAAAGCCTTCAGAAATCGCTCCAGCGGGAACAGGACAACAGCATCGAGCTCCGCACACAGCTGCAACAACTCCAGGGCCTGCACACGGTCAGTGTCTCTCTCTCTCACACACACACACACACACCGGGGTTAGGGTCAGTCAACTCTGGAAGTGGATGATGAAATAACTAGTGTTTATATGTTGCTTCATCATTATGTGTGGTGCAGTTTGTTTTGCAGAAATGAATTGAGAACATAAGTAACACAACTACCAGATATACGCAAAATAACCACTGGAGTTTAATCTCAAACCTGTTCCAGGATTTATTTTAAATGCTGCAGTTTTAAGAGTGGTCCTTGTTTGAATATTTACATTGTAATTGCAGTCGTTCAATTCAGCCTCAGCAAAACATTGTTCATACTAGTGTTTCTCATGCTTAATAATCCTGTACAGCATTGAGATGTTAAGGTGCTTGCTTCCTGTGAATTGATGGTACAGGAGCTGCAGGATTTGAAGCAGGAGAAGCAGCAGCTGCAGCAGACATGTGAGCAGCAGGAACAGGCTCTACAGGAGATGGGACTGCATCTCAGCCAGTCAGTACTACTGATTTTGTCATTTATTTGTTAATAATGTGTACCATTTCATGTTCTGAGATTTTTGTGTTGTCTTTGTCAAAGGTCTAAACTTAAGATGGAGGACTTCAAGGAGGTCAATAAAGCTCTGAAGGTAAAATACAAAGAGCTGTGTACTTGGTCTACAATTGATGCTGTGAAATTTGAAAAACAATCCTGAGCAAGCCACATCGTTTATGTTCGTTTCTCCCATCAGGGCCACGCATGGCTGAAAGACGATGAGGCCACTCAATGCAAGCAATGCCAGAAGGAGTTCTCCATCGCACGCAGAAAGGTAGGCTCCCATTCCATCACATCCTATTTGTACGTTTTATAATATTCATCTGCCCAGTAATGTCAACGAGCTCTCCATGTTTGTGTGTTGCAGCACCATTGTAGAAACTGCGGAGACATCTACTGCAACAATTGTTCCAGTAATGAGCTGGCCTTACCCTCCTACCCTCGGCCGGTGCGGGTGTGCGATATGTGCCACTCCCTCCTGCTGCAGAGAAGCACCTCCAAAGCTTCCTGACAAACACCTGCGAACTTCGACGTTTCTACATCTGCTTTCTAACACTGCACATGCTCATCCACTATGATTTTCAACTACCAAGTTACTACTTATGTTAAAAGAGAAATGTCATCAGATCTTATGGAAATGTGATTTGGTGTTCCATTTCCACTGTTACCTGAAATTCAGGAACATTAGTTCATCTGTATTAAATATGGGCCACCTTTTAACACTGCTGGGATGATCTAATATAGTTATGCAGACTTTATGTTAAAGATCCAGTGTGTATGATTCAGTGGCAGCTAGCAGTGTAGTTGCAGACTTTAAAGCTATCCTATCTAGACCCAGTGTTTGGTTTTCCCTTCTGGGCTACTGTAGAAACATGGCAGACTACATGGAAAATGTCTAATTCTTGGGTTCATTTATATTATACACTAATGCAAACATACTTATGAATATCATAATCCATTCTGCCAATAGTTCCTCTGAAGTGTTGCACTCTGGACCTTTAACAAGACTTGACATTATTGATATTTTAGGATATAAATGTGATCAATGTTTATTTGAACTGGAATAATCACTTTGACAATATGGTACTGGATAAACCGATCATTTAAAAAAGGTGTGTAGTTTCTCTAATTCAAACCATGGATGTAGATTATGATGAGGTTACACCAAGGTTGCTGTTGGTTTTCAGAGGGTCATTTGTGTACCTGGATCATAGAACACGTGTACTTCACTTTATCATTCAGCTTGTCATTCATCTACTCAACTAACATTTACAGCTATGGCCCCACTGCTGGATAACATGCAAACCTATTGTGTAAATGACTGTAGAATGTTAAAATCTGACTATTTTAGAATGTATTATAACAACAAGGTTTTGTGGATTGTGGACTGCTACAAAGCCATTTTCTTAATTTGGGAATGGTGACCAAATGTTTTTTTTATCTAGGTATTTGATAAATGAATAAAGCCTCCAGTTTTGCAATGCTTGTTTCAATTAGATATTCCAGACTAGTTTATTCACTTTGTGCACAGGAAATACAAATAGCATTTGAAGCAGTAGAAACCTTTTATGTCAGCAGATCTGAAAATCATTTGCCGTTCATATAGCACTCATTCAGAGAAACCGCTACATCAACAATCACACCTTAAGAAAAACAAAACATGCGCTGACCGTATGAAGTCTCAAATTCAGAATAACATTTTAAACGGGAAATAAAAAAGGCTAAACACTATGTAGAAGATGAAACAAGGTCTAACAATCAGAAGATAGACATTTTTCTGAGTTTTTTTTTGTTCATGCACTCTGACATTGAAATTAATGTTAAAGCCATCAGCACAGGATGAATTAACTTTGAGGAACAGCCAGGTGCTTGGAGAACACAAAAACGACACTTCCTGGTAATGAAAATTTAAAGCACGGTTTCTGTGTTGTGTCAAATCTGAGGAATGGGGAAGACAAACAGGGCTTCTGTCTGACACTTTGTGACACCAATGACCTCGCTTCTCTCTGAAGATCATTCACGTTAAAAAAAAAAAAAAAAAAAAAAAATACAAACCCTACCCCTCAATATTTTCAAAACCTCACCTGACCCTACCCTATGTTTACAAGGTGAGACTTGCGTTTCCAGTCCTTCCAGCAAAATGCTGAGTTAAAAAAACCCATCAAATTAAGGGGAAACAGAAAAAAAATAAATCTACATTCCCCATCCCCCACCCAGTCCATTCATAGAGCCTCTGCTTCCTCCTCCTCCACTGCCGCCGTAGTAACTGCTTCCCATTCCGCCCTGGTTACCTAACAAGAGAGAGAATACACACTATAGGACCGAGGAGTTCATCATGGACACACAGCTTTTCTAGGTCTGTACAGGCATGTCTTAAAAACACACATTAACACGAATCGAACATACTGACTGAAATTTCACATGTTTAAAAACAAATATGTATAATTATTATTATAATATGTTATTATATGCATGATAACGAGGTGTACATAGCACTATAGGCTGTATATGTAGTAGGCCGTCCTGGCTCTCTTTATGAGCTAAGGGGTCCTTGGCCAGAAAAATGTTTAAGACCCTTGTTGTAAGGCCTTAAGACCAGCCTGGTGCAGAGCCATCAAACAATCTCTCAAAATCATCACTTATAACCCACTAGAAGTGTGTTGTGCGGTCTGTATCTGCAGAGACCCGGCCCTCTGCATCAACCTTTGGGCAGCAAGCAGGGTGCGAGTTTGAGACTATTAAAATGTAGTGACCTGGTTACTCTGTGCCTGTGTCATGGATGTATAAAGAGCAGCAGGATTGGTGTGTCTGTGTGACCGAGGGCAAACAGGATGAAGCTATGCTTTGGAGGAATTCATACAAAAAAAATAGAAATATGGCACCTTCCTGCAGTGTTGCTCGGAGGTGTTCATTTGTGCTTTAGAGCGTAACCGCTGTAAAACAATCAGAAAATAATGTTTTATTTCTCAGATTTCACTGTTATTTCTCTCCTCATTCACGCTCTATGTAGCTCGAGTAAAGGCGCTCTCTGGCTCGCACAAGTCGGGGAGGAGGGACAAACTTTGAGTGGTGCTTTCACAAACAGCATCAGACAAATCCTGAATTGTATGCCTTTAAGTGTGTTGAATGCAGGAAAGGTTGTAGTTAAGTGTGGATGGAGAAAAAAACCTATAATAACAGAGCTGGCACTCACTATAGTCACTGTAGCCCCCCATGTTGCCCTGGCTGCTGTATCCTCCAGAGTACCCTGAGCTCAGCTGGCCGCCGCTGTAAGACGATTGGTTCCCTGTGGAGAGAACAGATCACATTAGATTCAGTGGGACATTAAAGCATCATAATTATTTGTGAAGCCCTTGCTGTCTCAGATTTTGTTCTTATATGTGCAAGCGTTTACATCCAAACAAAAAAAAAACGCCACAAATCTCAATCTCCATTGCAGATACTCACCCATACCACCCATCATCTGGCTGCCGTAGGCTCCGTTACTGCCACCTGCTGTTGAGTTCAAGAACAGCTCCACGTAGCGGTGCTCTGAGGGGTGAAGAGGAACCGTAAACATAACTAATATCTATATGCGAACATCTATATGCAGGGTGGAAGTGGTGAAGCATTTTTAACTCACGCATGTTTGCTTTGTCTTTAGACATGGCTGCCACAGCATCCTCATGTGTTGCAAACTCTACATCCGCCTCCCCAGTTACCCTGCCATCTGGGCCGATCTCAATATGGACCCGCACCGGATTCAATGGCGAGAAGAACTAAGAAACAAACAAGGAAAAAATGTTTCAGGATGCAACCTTAACGACACATGCACGGGGTAAAGAGGGAGATATTTTGCAGTCGTTCTCCGACTTACATTGTAGATGTCTGTTTCTGTGGCTCTGTATGGCAGGCCCCTCATGTGGACGCAGTGGCCTGTTGTGCTCTGGAAGGAAGAGCCGCCATCGCCATAGCGTCCGTCTGATACACCTGAATACACACAATCAGGACGTTTCACCCTAATCCTATCCAGCGTTTCTGCAGGTTTCAACAGGTTCAATTATAAGTGACCATTTTTAGACAAAGATCTTTCTGTGGATGCAATTCATGTTTCATTTCATAGTTATTACAGCATGATGATTCCCAAAAATACATGCAAAGTGCAACTTTTATAGCAACTTAATCAAATCAATTTTTAAGACTCATTTCATCAAATAATTTCATTCAAGACGCACAAAAAAAGACTAACATTCTAATAATTTCATTTTAAAATGTTTTAAGATACTGATATTAAATCCACTGTGGCATATTAGCAGGAAGGAACATACTGTACGGTGAGTAATGTCTTTAAAAATAACTACACAAGTTAATATCACTACTAAATCATATGCCAGTTGAACTTCAGTCCACTTGACACCCACCTCCTCCATAGCCTCCGCGACGCATTCTGTCATAGGATCCCCCTCGGCCCATCATGTTGTAGCCACGACCACCAGAGGGCCGGTCGTAGGGGCCAGGTCTCTGCATGCCCATGGGCTTCCGCTGGGGTTCATAATGGGTTCGCACCTCAGCACGGCTACTCTTGAAGATCTCAATGTACCTAAGAGCATAGAGATACCACGGTGAGGGCATGGGGAATGGACCAGGTAAGGCTGCATTTGCTCAATACTGATGAAACTGGGCTATGCAGGTGCTGTCATGGTGTAGTCCATAGGTGGTATTATCTTTTGAGTACTTAAGGCTAATTGTTAATAGAGTAGATGAGAAGGACTATTTAACTGAGTTGCAAAAATGAAGCTGACCGAATTGATAAGGACCGTATTGACTTTTACACTTTTCTTATGGTTACCTGAAGTGACATTTATCTGATTGAGCGTCCTGTGTCCTTGCCATGACAGCCATTGTCCTAGTTTTAGAGAGACAGAGAGGGCTCCAGCCCATGTGCAACCCACTCTAAGCATTACCTGTGACAGTGGGCTCCAGATCCATGTGTACAGTGGCCCTCTGATTTTACCACCAGGGAGACTCCTTACCATTTATCAACCTGGACTGATGTTTAGTGCTGAGACACCATTTGTTCTCATAATTAAGCATGTACTGTGATTCAGGATTTGTCTCATTTGTGAATGGTGCCCAAGCACTAATTTTCCCATTGAACATTGTGAATGTGTGGCATATGTGGATCTAACATAGCAATTTGTGTATGTGTCCGTGGTAAATACAAATATGCTTTAATTAACCAAGATAAATATAGTGTCCGTTTTGCATTTGGATTAGATGTTGAGGGTGCACACCATAAGAAAAGCAACTTATCCAGCCAACCAACCAACCATCCCCACCTGTGCCCTATTCTTTCCTTGTGTTTCTTTAGAGCCTTTTCAGCTATATCCTGTGAAGCAAACTGCACGAAGGCCTCCCCCGTACTCCTCCCCTGGATGTCCACCGGCAATGTTATCCCATTTGGCACGATTTCCAACCCTTCAACCCAAGGACAGATAACCCCAGCAGGGGACATATTAAATCACATGCCCAATCACAGAGAACTTTCTCTAAAGAGAGAGATAGAAAACTTATGGAAAACTCTATACATCATCACACATACCAGTTCAGTTTTAACCAGTGACTGGCCATTTAAACGACTTACATTTACTGCATTTTGGGGATAAAATAGAAATGAGAAGATAGAGGAAGAATATGGAAAAGGGCACTGTCTGGGACATCAGGCTAGTATTGGTGTGTTGATGAAGAGAGAACAAGATCCTGTTGGGTGACATGAGTTAAATTACTGCTGGTCCATTAGGAACTAATCTAACACTTGGCATACAGTGTATATAGGAAAAATGTACATAAAAGAGAAGAGTGTGAGGGAAAATAAACAATGGTAGTGGGGTAAGAGACTGTCCAGTCAGACATGAGGGAGACCCTTTCCGTCATTAGTTAATTACAAGTAGGCACACACAACTGAAACATTAAAGTAAATCACTTTACAAAATTAGATGCAATTAAAGGGGGAAAAAAGTGATGAAATGGGCTAAAGGTGGATATGATGGGAAAGGGTGTTTGCATTAAAGATTCCTGCCCTTGAACTGAATATAAAGACTCCTCAAAGAGTTAAGTAGCTTCCTTTTCTGGCATCATTTCCTCACTTATCACCAATCCAAAAACATAAATAATTGTGTTATTTTATTATGTAATAATATACAGTAGGTATTGATCATTGATCATTTTCCAGTGGTACATTTTTGTAAAATCAGATGCAAAAGACTGTCAACAGTTGTAATGTCAGTAGGAGAAAGGAAACAAGAAAAGGAACATGAAAAAAAAAAAACCTTCACCACCAACATTACATTCAAGTAACCCCGAGCAAGGCCTATTCTTACCTGAGAAAAACTGTACTATCTCCTCCTTGCTGCAGCCAAAAGGAAGGCCTCGAAGCCGGACGAGCCCGTCTCCTGCTGTTTCTGGACAGTTTGGACCAGTGTGCTTCATGACCCAGTCCATCTCGACATTGTTGGATTTAAAAACTATAAAAACAGAGGACATGTAACAATTAGTTAACACGGCATAAAGTTGAGAAAGCTGCACCATTGTGAGTCGGTCTAAGTATTAGCACACACCCTCTACGTATCGGTGACCCATAGTTTCTCTGTCCTTCTTCACGGCAATCTTCAGGTCTTCCTCTGTCTCCAACTCGACAAACGCCTCTCCACTGGGACGCCCCTCTCTCGTATAGGTGAAGTGGATGCCGGTTCCATTGCTGACAATTTTGCAATCTGCATTTGAAATGTATCATCATCAAACAACATTTATTTTTACTTAAATTAAAATTATTTTGTAAAACTTGTAATGAACAAACACCTACCTGAGAAAAACCTCTGTACTTCATCCACGGAGCAAGACCAAGGGAGACCCCTGATGCGTACTACATATCCCTCATCAGCCATGACTGATCACAATCCCTGAAGAAAAATACCCCATTATTATTCAATCTCAACACATACATTAATTCAGTCCAAACACAGATCACTAGTGATTGAAGTGGTGAGCAGTGTGGATATAGTTTGGGTCCTGGTATTTAAAGAGATCAGAAAGTAGTTTTTTGTACTGTTCCTTCATACCCTGAATTACAGCACACCTCACAAGCCTTACATGGATCCCCACAAACACATTTTGTATACACTGTGGCTCCATTCATGTGCCAGTAAATCCCAAAGGAGACCTACATGTGTGGAGCTCAATGAGATTTATTTTTTGCCTACTGCTCTGTAGGTGTACTAAAACGCTGTTTTCCCTCTACAATAAAAAAAATTAATCGCCTCTGCTTTATAAAAACGAAAAAGCTTTCAGACTTTGTCATCAGCAGCATGGTCCTGTTTTGAATTAGCTGGCAGCGCCATCTTGAGGCAGTCTGATTGATCTCGAGTGCAAACCGAAAGCGTTATCCACCAAGTACAAAATCTCGATATCGTGGCTTTTCCCTACCACGAAGAACGATATTGTCTAAACACATAAACAGCAAGTAATTATCCCAACCTGATAGCAGCTCATCTCAACTTAAAGTCTGTGGCGACCTCTTCATAAAGAGCGCGAACCCGGAGTCTTCCTCGGCCAGCTAACGCTAGCCATACAACAATGTGTCACGTTAGCATAGCTAAGATTGCTTTGATTCAACAATACATCCGGAGTTGAAGCGTTTCGGTAAAAGCTTTAAAGAGCACACCGAAACTTTAAGTATGAATGAGTGAGTAAGAAACTGTTTCATTTTCGGCAGGGTGCGTGGTCTCCCGCACGCTCGCCACCGCACCCAGCCACAAGAACAAAAGCGGCCTTTAGCCGGCGCCATGTTATTAGCGTTAACAGTTAGCTAGCTCTCACGCTAGTGTTCACCAGAAAGAAAAAAAACAAAAACTAACATTTATCTAAATAAAACCTCGCATACATACCGGTAGCGATATAACGCAACTCACACAGGCACACTTTAAATAAGCCTCTCCTCGGATACACGCAGTGATATCGGGATTACTCGGTTTACCTGATTGAAGCGGAGACACAACACGCCGGAGGATGTTTGACCAGAACTGCGTGATGCAGCGGAAACCGTACACTGGGTTGCCAGGTCTCTACGACAGCCCCCGCTCCCTCCGTCCCCCTTTTTCAGGAGCTAGAAAACGACGCACTTAACAATTTACCGCCACTCTTTTCCAAACTGCAACACGTTATTCAACACGACCCAAAAAATAATCAGTTAATTAAAGAAATTTGTAAGCAGTGTTATTGTGATTGCTTTTAATTCTGTTTAGTTCCAAGAACCTCGAGGTTTGCTTAATCTCCTTGTGATATATTTAAATGTACAGAAAGTGTGGGTTTTGATGCACACCTGGCAATCCCGGCTGAATAACCAATCGCCACCGACCGGCCTGCGTCCACGCCCAAAAACGATGACGTTGCCGCCCTAGGCCCTGGCTGGTCGGGCGGCATCTCCCGGCCTACAAATCCAAGTAACCCTGTTCACAGTGGTCAATAACTAACTTGTAATGCTTTTTTTATTTTTTTATTTTTATGTACCTCAGAGACGTTTTACAACAAGGCCAAAAATCTCGTGGTGGTCAAAGCCAACTCAAAATAGCATGACACTATTCAACACTAAACCCCATTTAATAAGACAACTCAACCAAAAGCAAACCACAGCAGCTTTTGTGTGGTGATGATGACGATGATGATCGTATGTGACAGTAACCTAGATAGCATAGGCTTATTTGGGTATATTGTTGACAGCACAATATATAAAAAGCCCTGGCTGCAGGTTTTTCGTGACAACTGTGACACTCTTAACAATCATGTTAGTCCAATATGTCAGTGTGGTGGCAGCCCAAAAGTTGCTGGAAAATTGGTGGATTCTCTGCAAAGATTTGGAGATTTGGAGAAGCTTCCCGTCCTTCAACATCATCGGAAATACCCTTTACCAAGGCACTTTCCCTCCTCTGTACTGTCTGCTTTAGAGAAGCTGTTAAGTGGCCAGTGGCTGCGACAACTCCAGGAATGAATTTGTAAACCTGTTAGAGGTAGAAAGTAAAAATGACTTGATATAACCCATGTAATGTAAGTACAGTTTTGAAGTATTGGTAGTAGAGTGTTTTTATTTTGTGCTTTTTATATACTCCTAACACATGATTTTAGTGGGAAATGTTGCACTTTTTACTGTACAACATTTTTTATGATGTTTACTAGTTACTTTGCTATAAAATACAATGCATTCCTGCATATTAAACAATACTAACTATACTATATATAGTTAGACTTGGCACTGCCTAGACAATCTACATCATTAAAATACTCTGTCATTATTAATTTATCACTAATTTTACAATCTACAGTACATTTGCTTTTGAGTCTTAAGTACATTTTAGATATTACATGTTTACTTTTACATTAGCAAACTTCCAAGTGCAAGAATTATTATACTGCATTCTGATTATTCATAGTGCAACATTGCTGTTTATTACTTAAGTTAAGGATCCAAATAAATCTTCTAATACTAGTAGATGTATGAATATGAAGCATGTGATGCTAAAAAAGAACATGGAGAGACACACATAATCGTAAAGATAATCAAACTATGCGTCAGCGTGCTTCATTTTAGAGCAGGATCCATCTTTTTTGTGTTTTTATCTTGTCTTTTAAGCCTCACAGAATTCTGTTACATATTCATTTTTTAAAAATGCATCACCCGTTTCCTAACGTGACGAGACACAAATCTGAAACTGTTTGAACACGCAGTCAAAGTAGTTCAACCAAAAGGTGTTCCATCAATGAAATACTCCTTTTTTTAGCACAGACATTTTTCCTTACCTGAATAATGTAAAAAGTAAAGACAGTTTTACTCAAGACCAAATAGTCATATTGGTAAAGGATGGACAGGCACCTGAAGTCAGCGGCAATTCTGCAAAGTTCAAACCAAACACTGGGGTTAAGGTAAATACTTTTACATTTGTGCATACTGTAAAACCAATGTGTGTTTTTGTCTCCGTCTGAGTCACCTAAGCATACACAATGGGTTGAATTATACCATGGGATTATACCATGTTACTCATTTGCAGCAAAACATATGCATACATCTGCAAGAAGTTAATTTTTAATAAGTGTGATTAGGATAAAGTGGTCAACTTGTTTTTTTTTGTTCTTCTTCTTTTCTGTTTTTTTGTGTTTTATCCATTATAATTGATTTTAAAATGTTCAAATCTTATTCGCACTAACAAATTAAAGTAATTAAAAAAATTATGTAATGTGTAAGGTTCAGCTACATACTGATATCCATTGCCACTTAAAAAAAAAAAAAAAAAAATCACATTAAATTAGTGATTAAAATGAACAACAAGTACCAATGTACTCTCAGTGTACTCCTTCAATTAATTAATCTCCCAATAAGAGTTTACATAAACTAGTAAAGCTAGCTACAGTGAAGTTGGCCTACCATGTCATGTCTTGACGTTCGTTCTACAGCCTCGTGATATTGGTAAACCTAACATGACGTTGCGGTCCCGTGTTTGACAAGCATTAGCTCTGACCAATAGGAAACAGAGCTTTTTCCGGCTCAACCAATAGGATTCTCAGGATCCCCCACCGAGGCGGTCTTTCTGAGAAACAGTGCGTATCGGGTTAGGTTGTTAGAAAGTTAATGGCTGGGGGAAAGAGATCCTCCTCAACCCTCGCTTCGGGAGAGTTTCTGGATTCCCTGAAGTAAAACACGCAAATATCCTAAAAGAAAGAGCCTGGACGGACGTATAAGTCAACAACTAGCTCGTTAACACACGTATCGTGAACATAAGTATGCAGGATGCAGTAGCCGGGACGGCAATGCTGACGGACGGCTTCGAGGACGAGATTGACTCGGTGACTCCTCGCTCCCCAGTGGCAGGGATGGGGGTAGGAGCGACACCAGGAGGAGTCGGACTAGGGGGCATTGGAATTGGTGTAGGTGGAAAGAAAGTACGTTTGTACGGTGAGCCGGGCGGGCCTGCTGCAGAAAGACTGGATTTCAAACTAGCGGCCGCGGCCGTCCTCTCCTCGGGTCCGGGATCCGGCAGCGACGAAGACGAGGTTTCAGAGGTAGCTATGCTAAGCTAGTTAGCTAAAGCTCAACCAAGAGAGACCTAGGCAACATTCCTCTCCTAGCGCGAGCTGGCGGCTAGCTAGCGCGTTAGCTCGCAGTTGGCAACCACCCCCCCCCCTCCCTCCCAGGCCGCTGAAATTACGTAAAATAAACCAGCACTTTAATCGAATAACCCCTCTCGGCGGCTCGGATGCGCAGGGGGAGTGTTGTGATGTCGGTAGTGTTTGGTGAGACGCGAGCAGTTGTTCACGCTGAGCGGCTGAAATGTTTTATTTATGCAGCGCAGGCTGCGACCGGGGCCTAGTTCGGGTGGGAGCGAAGACGGCCTCGCTCGGTGCTGTCGTCTCGCAACACCCATCGCAAGTTTTGCAGCTCCTCCGACAGCTCTCCGGACACAGCAAATGGAAGATGCCCGTAAACCCACGGACGCACACGGCCGTCTTAACTATCTGCCATTTCCTAGTTGTGGTGCAATTACGTCACTTTTCCAAAATCATGTAAATTGACTCCGATCGTCCCCTCGGCTAACTTTTAGATACGTTTTAGATTATGCTTGCCCTCCCGGAACTACTCGGGGTTTTCGACAGTTGGTGTTGACAAATAAACCAGTTGGGTTATTTTTATTTATTTTTATTTTTATAACCAGGCTTCGTCTCTGTTGGTCAGGTAGCCCACCACCACCACAGGGTCAACTTGATTTGCGTTGTCACTATTGAGAGCAGCTAGAGTTCATGTTGAGGTGTCCCAACTTTCCATGTGCTGGCAGACACACATGGGGACAGGTGTGATGGCATCTCCACCTCACCTAAACATGCTTTAGACGTGTTTTCTGTTAGCTCAGATCAGTTGATTTAACATAATATTTTGTCTCCACGGCACAAAATTTGAAATGCCACCCAGAAATCACCTGACTTGTCAGTGTGACTCAATCAAAAGGTTGATAGTCAGATTCACCAAATGCCTTGTGATAACTAAACATGTTTTACTGAACGTCTGGTCTAATGTGAGCTAAAGATGTTAAGACTTCTCAGCTGTATTATTGTCATGTAATAGAGTTTACCATATTGTATGACAGCAGCACAGGACACAGGAGTGGAGCTTGTCAGACGGCTAAATGGCAAATTTATGATTTGCTCAAACCTATCAAAGTCTCAGTTTAATTACATTTTAATGGAAACGTAATATCCATTGTTGTCTAAAAGATGGTGCAGTATTTACTGTCAGAAACACTCATCAGGGAGTTATGGGTGTGGAGAGAACTGCCACTGCTGAGCAATGCGTATTACCTGTTGAGCTGTCTCTAATATACTTAACTAATATCAGATTAAAGGGCTATTGGTCTGTCTGAAACATGCTTCAGCCGCGACAGTTAGACAAGTAAGGGTGTCAGCTGATACCAGTGTCAATATAGCCTGGCCATTTCTGTCTGAGCATCAGCTGTGAAGTAGCAGTAGAAGAAGTTTGACAATTACATCGCAGGCAGTTAATTTAATCAAATTGCAAATGTATGGGCCTCCGTGTCATGTTTCTTCACTCACCCAGCCTACTATGTGAGCCTGAAAGGGAGCGTTTGTTGTGGTGTTTTACTCCAGTGGAGAACTCGCTGCTCTGGGCAGTAGCTAAAATCTGAGCCCCAGGATTAAGCAGATGCCATTCTAGGCCTTTCCAGCTCTCTGGATACCAACACTCTGGGAACTGTAGTTCATTAATAGTGAAGACTGATGTCCATTGTTGATTATAAAGGCCTTTATAGAACTACATCCCCCATGGGTTGTTTTGCTCTGCGTTCCCATCGTATAGCTGAATTCCTGCACATTGCTGAATGCTGACTCTCTCACAACATTTGCTCTCTGAACCAGGCCCTAAAAGCCTGCTGCAGCTTATGGATGGACATACACAGAGATTGTTTCTTTTACTCAGTTTTTGTCAAAGGTTGTTTTGCAAACTGTTGAATGACAGTTATTTATTCTAAATCCTATAATTATTTTAAAATCTCACCTTGTAGGTAGGCCACGATTGCCCAAGTGTGTCATGTTTGTCGCTCTCAGTATAACTAATGTATA